CACACACACACACACACACACACACACACACACACACACCACCCCTGCAGTCAGGGCTTCTGAGGCATTTTGTCTCTCTGATGGACCACTGTACCCAGCCCTATGACCTGACACCCTCAGAGACCCTCATTGATTCCTGGAAGCTAAGACAAGGCCAAGGACATCATGTGTATCCCACACTCAGAGATTTAGAGACACAGGTGCCCTATAAGCATTGCTAGCCTTAGATCCACTCCTCTCTAGAAGGCATGAAGTCAGTTGACAGGGCCACAGGTGACGCTGCCTCTGCTGAGAGGTCAGGGACTGGGGCAGGCAGGCGGCTATAATTAGAGCCATGACTCAGGCATTCCTGGAGAGGAGGAAAGAACCTAACCAACATCCATGTTCATCCACTGGGGCTGCCCTTCAGGGCTGGAGTAGGAAATCTGAGGCTGGCAGAGACCCACCCACCCTATGGAACCAAGGAAACTGTCCTGACTTGAAGAAGAGGACGAAGTTCACAACGGTGAAGTCAGCTGTCACAAAGCACACTGGGGTCTTCTCTCTCCCTGTTCCCCTTTGGAGATCACAGGATGTCATGGCATCCCACTGCCTCGTAAAGCCAAGGGGAGAGGATGGACTTCAGGGAAGGGCTATAGATGGGGAGGAATGGACAGGGTACTTGGAGAGGACACACCCCAGGCACAGCCCACCTGGACTTGTGGTTCTGAGGGAGGAATGGGGAGAGGAGCCAGCAACGCAGGGTCAGGGAGGCTTCCTGGGGACGAAGTGTGCATCGGGGCTGGGAAGTTGTCAGCTGCTGGGAAGAAACTGGGAGGGTCATAGGGAGAGGGAATGTGTCTTAGAAGACATGTGAATGTCCTCCAAAGGAAGGACCATGGTTTCTTGTTTGTTTTGTTTTGGTTTGGTTTGGTTTAACAGGATCTATATAGCCCTGGATATAGCTCTGAATAGCCTAGTACTTACTACATAGCCTGAGTTGGCCTCAAACTTGTAGAAATCCTCCTGTCTCTGCCTCCCACATGCTGAGATTTATAGGCAGGTGCTACTATACCCAAAAGGTCCACCTTTTCTAATTGGCACAAGACATGTAGAAGTTTAACACAGACCTGAGCCCTACTCAAGACAGTGAACCAAACCCCAAGTTCCCACCCCATCACTGAGCAACACCCCCCCCCAACAGGTATGAGGACGAGATCTCTAAGCGCACAGACCTGGAGTTCACCTTCGTCCAGCTGAAGAAGGTAACCGCCCACTCAGCCCCCAGGACTCTTTGTCATGGCCCTCTGCCTTGTCCCCAGTATCCTCCCACTCTCCTTGGTACCCAAGCAAAGCTCTCAAACACCTGGGTTCCAGGACCAATAGACAGAGAGAAAGGCCTATCTCCAGCCTGCCCTTTCCCCGGGCTCAAAGGCAAATCTATAAGAATCACCCCTCCCTTGACACTGCCCTACCTCGAATGCTGCCCTGGACCTTGCCTGTTAGTCTTCATCTCTCACCTCTGCTCCCAACCCCAGGACCTGGATGCTGAGTGTCTCCGACGCACTGAACTAGAAACCAAGTTAAAAGGCCTACAGAGCTTCGTGGAGCTGATGAGAACCGTCTATGAGCAGGTGAGAGAGCAAGGTGGGGTCAGAGTCCCATGCAGCCAAGCACTGACTGCTGCAGGATCAAGGGAAAAGGGAGAGAAGGGACATCCACAGGTGTAGAACATTCAATAGTCACCATTTCCAGCCACAGACATCACAGCTTTCCAAGCCCCTATCTGCCTAGATGTCAATGAGCCTTACATTTTCCTTTGCCACATATTTCATGACACAGGGGTAGGATCCCAAAGTCTCTCTCTTGGGAAGAACCATCTTCATGTGTGCTGGAGTGCCAAGAGCAAGCAGGGACGAGATGCATTGGTTCAAGGCCTCAACTGGGGGCCTTGAGCAACTATTCTATTTGGGCTGAGCTCCCTCTGGGCCTTGCAACCCAAATCATGACACCCCTCTTCCAGCACTGATGGGCGTGCATTTTACCCTCCCAACTCTTGGCTAAGGCAAGGAAGGCGCATAGTGGCTTTCAACCCAATTTGAAATGATCCAGTAAATGCAGACAGAGGAGCTTCCGTGGCCCAGTAAGGGCCTGCCTCTTTGGGAACACTGCAGCTTCCTGGGCATCCTTCAGAGGCACTCCCTTCTCCGTGTCACCTATCACAGAGGGAAGGAGTAAAGGGTAACCTTCCACAAATGTCTGTGTCTAGCTAGCAGTAAGCAGAGCCATTGCTGGGATTGCCAGGGTCCAAACGTTGTGGGTTGCAAACAGCTGGCGCCAACGAAGCCAGGGTTAGAACAGAGGCCAATGTCACCATACAGAATTCTGCCATGGGCCCTGAGGGCTGCTGAGCACAGCGTTTCAGCCTCATCCTGTGGAAGGGGAATTGGCCCTCCCTTCCAGCAGGCTCAGCATCCCAGGACCACCCCCCCATGGGACTGTCATGGTATGGAACAAAAGAGAGAAAAGCCCTAGTCTCAGGAGCAGCAGGAAGGCGGCTTCCCAGCCACCCACACCAGCAATCCTGAAAAGCACCCTGCCTGGCACAGTCCTCCACAGCCAGGCCAGAAGCTCTGTGAGCATCCCAGGACTCCATGTCCCAGGCTAGCAACTCTGCCCAAGCTATCTTTGGCTGGTATGACCAGCCATGTTCACCAAATGCCCAGCAAACTCAGAGCTCTAAGCCAGGGTACAGGCCCTGCAGTTGAGACCCAGGCAGAAGGAGGAAGGCCATAACCAACAGACCCAGGCACTTCCAGAGGCATGTCCAAGAGACTTCTTAACCCTTTCCCAATAGCCAGGTCTGTGGATTCCATTCATGTCCTGCAACCCTAGCTGGCTGTGGTAACACACACCTTAGTTCCAGCACTCTGGAAGCAGAAGCAGGCAAACCTCCATAAGATCAAGGTCAGCCTGACCTACATAATGAGTTCCAGGCCAGCTGGGGCTCTAGGGAGACCGTGGCTCAAAAACAAACAACAAATGCTACAACCCTTAGGCCCTGTTTGATTCCTCCTTTTCATTTGTTTTGTCACTTCTGTAACTTGGGTCAAGCTATGTTGCCTCTCTGTGCCTCAGTTTCCACATCGGTAAAATGAGGAGGCTAATAATAGCACCCTGGTAAAGGCTTATGATGTGGACTAAAGCCATTCAAGTGTTAACTGTGTACTTACTAGGTGCCAGGCACTGATGTCACCTCTCAAACAAGACATGTCTCTCCTCTCAGGAGAGCACAGCTTAACTATGAGGAGACAGGTGACCAGCAATGAACATGTAGCCAAACAAGGTCACTCGAGAAGGTGAGAAGGCAGAGCAATTGGTGATGTCATCATACTGAAGGGCAAGAACAACTTCAGAGCCATGGTCAGGGGTCTGGGGGGAAGCAAGTAAGCTAAGCCCAAGACAGGAACAGTCCAGTTCAGTGGGAAAGCTGTACAGAGCCTCCATGGCAGTAAGGAGCTTGTCACTAACAGGAAGAAGGAAGCTGCTGTGGTCAGGCCAGATAGAGCAGGCCAGGGGCCACAGGCCAAGCAAGAGGCATCGACGGCCATCAGGGCTGGTGCACATGGTGCCCTGGGCTCTGAGACAGAGTTTAACCTTGTCTAGGTGTAATGGATCCTGGACAGGGGCAACTGCATCAAGTCCTGCTTAGGGGGGTTCAAGTATGATCTGTGCTGTAGAGCAAGGATACAGAGAACAGTAGGAACCAGGGCTTTACAGTTGTTCCCTGGTGTCCTTGGGATCAGTTCCAAGACTCCTGCAGATACCCAAATCCTCTGATACTCGTGTTTCTCACATAAAATGGTGCAGTGTTTGCATATAACCTGCACACCTCCTCCCCTGTACTGTAAACCATCTTACAATACCAAATACAGTGTAAATAATAGCTATTACACTGTATTCTTTTAGGGAGTAATGGCAGAGAAAGCAGTCTGTACGTGTTCAGTACAGAGGTAATTTTCCCCCAATTGAGACACAGGTGAGTACATGGGCAGCTTATAGCAGTTATGGCTACTTTTACAAGCAGCATGGGAGCCAGTCATCTGGGCACTAGGGTATAGGTTTTATGCTCCGTGTTTCTCCTAAGCCTCAGAAAGTAACACTGACATTTGCCAAAAAGATACCAGTGAGTCTCTAAGCCAATGCTGCCAACCTCATAGGTAATTTTAATTTTTCTAGCGGCCAGGTTTAAAAAATAAACTGGCAGGAGGCACACACCTTTATTCCCAGCACTTGGGAGGCAGAGACAGGTGGATCTCTGTGAGTTCAAGGCCAGCCTGATCTACATAGTGAGTTCCAGGCCACCTGGAACTACAGAGAGACCCTGTCTCAAAATGACCAAAGTAATAATAATAATAGTAATAATAATATATTTTATTTAGCCCAACATAGCCAAAATGTGAGTATTTCAACTTATAATCAATATAAAATTAGTGGATTATTTTACTTTTCTTCCTTATATTAAATGTCCAGAATTAGGCATGGTGGTATACACCTGTAATCTAGCACTCAGGAGATGGAGGCAGGAGGATCAGGAGTTCAAGGTCATCCTCCACTACATTGTGACTTCTAGGCCAGCAAAGGTTACATGAGACCCTGTCTCCAAAACAAAATAAAAACAAACAACAGCAACAAACTAATATGAAGTATATTTTACACTTTCAGCTCATCTCAGTCAGACCAATCACATTCCAAGTGTTCCAGGGCCACTGATAATGGGTGGCTCTCTCCCAGGACAGAGCAGGTCTGAGCAAAGGGAGGTGCGGGCCCCCCTGACTGGAAAACATCATGGACCATGGGTAGCCCCAGGAGAGCCGGACACTCTAGTTTCAACTTTGGGTCAAACCAGAAACATCTTGTAAAGACCTGTATTCCATCTGTATCCCAGAAAAGAAGCATCCTCCCCTCTCTCCAACCCCAGGGAACATAGAGCTGGACACCCCCAAATCCCTTCCCAGTCAACTGGGTAAGACCCACTGTAGCATGTGTGTGGGGACCTAGTCACATCTAGCCTGAACACTGCCTGCCATGTCCAAAAGCTCTGGTTATAGGAAGGTGTGAGGGTAGGCTCTGTTGACAGCCTCCTGCTTCCAGGCTTACTTCCTGGGTGGCTGATCACTACAGAGGAGCCAGCATTGTGCAAATGACTTTTGCAAGGAGGCCATTTCAGGGACGACCTGGACAGTGTATCCTGGCTTCATCACCTTTACCAGTTACAGAAATTGTAGCACTAGCTACTGTGTATTGAGCCCTTACTATGGTCCAGGTACTGTGCTAGGTGCTCTCCAGACTAAGTCTCAGTTAATCCTCATGACAACCTCACGAATTTGGGTAACAATGCAGTGAGCATAGATTTTAGAGCAGCCCAGATTTGAAGCCCACCTCAGTAACTATGTGAACTGAAGCAGGTTATTTTAATTTATGTTTCAGTCTCCTCGTCCGTAAAACAGAGGTCAGAGGACAACGTCAGGTGTCAGCTCTTACCGTCTACCTTGTTTGAGACACGGTCTCTTTGTTGTTTGCAGCCTGCTATGACAGTCTAGCTGGCTCTCAAACTTCCAGAGAGTCTCCTGTCTCTCCAGAGCCTTAGGAGCACAGGGATTATAGAAACACTAATGTGCCCAGCTTTACATGAATTCTGAGGATTCAAACTTGGGTCATTTTAAAGAAAGTGCTTTACATACTGACCCAGAACTTATTCCTTACTAGATCCTAAGATCCACTTAGAACAATGTCTGCCACAAGGTAAACATTTAAAATCATTACCTATGTTCAGTTTGTCCCATTTTACAAATGAGAAAATTGAGGTTTGGGGAGGTTTAAAAACTTGATCATGGATCTCTAATGGACCTGAGGTGGTCATGTTCAGAGTGCAGTGCCCCTAAGAGCTATCTATCTAAGCAGCACTGGTTTACCTCAGGAGGGTCACCATCTACCCCACTGTGGGGAACATGCAGCGGACACACATGGCAGCCCATCAGACTCTAGCTCTCTAGAGAAATGCTAAACTGTATTGTGCAGCAACATTTGCCAACTTGAGGTGTTGGGGGCCCATCCCAAGGCAGCACCTCACCACACAAATGAGCATTGTTATAAACCCCCCACCAGCCGAGGGGCCAGCATGTCTAGGCAGGCGTACAGCTGCTCTGAACATGATTTCCTGTTTCTGTTACCACACTCCTGCCTTACCTGCTTCTTTCCAGAAAGGGTCTGAGTGTGCTCCATCAGTGATAGTCGTCCCTTGGCCCCAAAAGGGAAGACTTCCTCCCTGTGGCATCTCCTCATCATGTCCTGACCATTCCTGGATTGGACGTCAGGCCTGGGCTGGAGGCTGGAGGACTGGATCCATAACCCCCATTTACTGACCTCCACAACACACCCACCAGGGGATCCCCAAAGCCACATCTCTAAAACTGTCCCAGCAGATGCCCATTCACAATGGACAATGTCAGTGGTGACGAGAGACCATAGAGGAGGCACCTATGATGACTGTTGACCTGATTTCAGGCTAGGCCTTCGGCCTGCCTTTGCCCAGAGACTCTGTTTGATTCATTTGAAGATCAATCAAAATACCTGGGCAGGAGACCCCCAAAGATCGCTGGTCACTAAGCTTGGGTCCTGCCAACTGTCTGGGCCTCTAGGACAACCTGATGCACCCAAGCTCCCTTGTCTAGCTGGCCTTCCTTGTCATCAGGAGGCCTGGTGGACAGGTTGCAGGTGAGTGGATGGGAAGAGCATCCTCAGCCATCCACGCAGCCCATCTGACCCAGCCTGAGCCCTGTATCTATACACTAGGATACAAACTAGCAGTTAGAAGTACCAGCCCCTGCCAAGGGCAGAAACCAGGACACTACCACACCCTCTCTGAGCATAAAAATAGATTATAGTCAGGGTCAGGGGGCTAAAGTTACATATGGTCATGAGTGAAACACTCAAACCAAGCGGGCCTCTGGATCCACGTGCGCCTGTCAGGAAGCAGGGGACAGACCGAAGAGTGGGACGCACATCACTATGGGGTAAAATCCAGACCTGGGGGAACCCTGCAAAAGACAACCCTGCATTTTCAGTAAGAAAAAATTGAAAGGGAAAAGAAATGGCAGCTGAAGACCTTTAGTGATGGGCACTATGCACCGACTGCCATGTATGCACCTTGTTTGCAACCTGAATTTTTTTAAAAAAAAGGCCAAGAGCAACTAGAAACACCAGCTGAAATTTGATGATTGATTGAAACAGAGACAGACTATGGATGTCTGAGCCGGTAGCCCAAGCCCCACACCTGCAGAGTGAGCCACAGCCACAGCCCCTCTGCCTGGCTCCCTTCCTGCCCCTCTGTGGCTAGCTGATTCACTTCTCTGTGAGTGCTGGCAGCCAAGCTCTGTTGACATGTTTCTGTTCCAACTTCCATCCTGAGGCCCTCTGAGGCCCCTGTTGTTATTTAGCACCTCAAAGGAAGCAGCCCAGGCTTGTGGCAATACTTGCAGCCTCTAAGAGACCCCTGTTCCCACTTGTCTCCCCATGTAACCCTGAGCCTTCCCGTGGGAAAGACAGACTAGGTCACTAGAAAATCAGCCTGGTGCTACAAAGACAAGAGGAGTGATTCCTTGAATCACCCTCTATGCTTCAAGGGCTGAGCCAGACAGACAGAGCACAGGAACAGAACCTCGGGTGGAACTCTGCTCCCCACAGTTGTCTCCACCACTTGCCTGTACCCCAGTGCCACCCCCACCCCCCACCCATTAAGAGGCTGTGTGCAGAGCATGCAGCACAGGCAGGCCTGGAGTGAACCTCAGGGGACAATGGGCTTTACTACCGCCAGAGGGCTCTGAGAACAAGTAACTGTGATGGTAAAGCTGTACCTGGGCCTGAAGTCAGCAGTACCCATTTTCCTGAGGGCTCACCAGCCTCTCTCTTGCCCTATCCTGCCCAGCATCCTGTCGTTTAACATAGATTCAGTAAACTGAGATGTTGCATCACCAGATATGGGGGCTCAGAGTGAACATGGCCCTACCAGGCCCTCAGGGGTCTCCCCATCCAGTAAGGAGGCAGAGGGCAGGATATAAAGCCCTTCCACCTCCCACCCTGGCTAGGAGGAGGGGTCCCAGCCTGGAAGTAGAGGTCAGAGCCACTCCCTGCTCTCTACCCTTGCTGAGAGAGAGAACACAGAGTCAGGAAGGACAGGAACCTCCCACCAAGCTTCCCGGATGAGTGTCACAACAGGAAGGTAGATGCTTTGATCATCTCCCCAGGAAAACACAAGAGAAGTAGCCCTGCCCTCCACCTCCCCAGGGGAGAAAGGGAGTTTGGGTGGCTGAGAAGTCTTGCATCGGCCCCACCAGCCCTGAGTCCCCCACTTGTGTTGGGCAGGAACTGAAGGACCTTGCAGCCCAAGTGAAAGATGTGTCAGTGACTGTGGGCTTGGACAGCCGCTGCCACATCGACCTGAGTGGCATCGTGGAGGAGGTGAAGGCCCAGTATGATGCTATTGCTGCTCGAAGCCTGGAGGAGGCTGAGGCATACTCACGGAGCCAGGTTGGAGTCTGACTGCACAGGGAGGAACGGGAAGAGCTGAGAAGATAGTACCTGAAAGCACTGCAGCTCTGGTCCTGAAATTCTCTGAAGGGCCATGGGAAGCAGGTGCAGGGATGGGAGGAGGGAGACCGCAGCATTCTATCCACAGCAGCGTGGAGAATGTGAGATCTAGCTTCTGCGGAACTCCAGGGGCAGTGGGAGGGAGGGAAAGAGGCAGCATTGTATCTTCCTGGAGGTCACAGTACTTGCCATCACCTAGGCCAGCTGTGAGGCTCACCCAGGGCAGCCTGGAGGAAGACATCCAGGGGCAACGTGTGGGGCAGGAGAGGGAAATGGGGATGGGCTGCAGAGATGAGGCTAGGGGATCTGAGGAGGGTGAAGGATGCTGAGGGACCCACAGTGGACCATCCTTCACCATCCCTCCTCTATGCCCCTCCAGTTGGAGGAGCGAGCAGCTCGCTCTGCGGAGTTCAGCAGCAGCCTCCATAGCAGCCGCTCTGAGATTGCAGACCTGAACGTGCGCATCCAGAAACTGCGGTCCCAGATCCTCTCCATCAAGAGTCATGTGAGCAAGCATCTCTGTGGCACGCAGGGGTGTTGGGAGCTAGAGACACTCACATTCAAGCACCCCTAAGTACATAAGAAGCCCTTACCAAGTGGCTCTGAATGGATCATTTTGTGCCCCTAGCCTCAGTTTCCTAGCCTGCCAAATAAGAAGGAACAAGGGCTATGATGGCAGTTGTGAGGATCAAGTGATCTCTGCCAAGAAATGTGCTCTATAAACTGGCCACAGTCACTGGGCATCAAGAAAACCCCCCATAATGCATACCTAGGGCCCCACCCCTACCCAAGTTCCCAACCAATCAAACAGAAATAGAGGCATGAGACCTAAATCCCAACTTCCAGTCAGGATCCTTGAGAGCAAGTTCTGCCCTGTAGGGACAGCTGGAAGTGCTCCCTAGAGTGACTGGGACTTTCCAGCTCTTTGGGTCTAACTGAACTCCCTCTTGCCGCACTGCAACCCATTACAACACTGAGAAATTCAGACAGACAGACAGACATGCACACACGCACATACACACAGGTGAGTGTCCACCACCAAAAACAGAGACAACCTCTGGCCTGGCCCACTTCCTTCCCCAATCACAGCTTCCTTTCCCCCTGGCCTCCTGACTACAGTGCCTGAAACTGGAGGAGAACATCAAGGTGGCAGAGGAGCAGGGTGAGCTGGCCTTCCAGGATGCCAAGGACAAGCTGGCCCAGCTGGAGGCCGCTCTGCAGCAGGCCAAGCAGGACATGGCGCAGCAGCTGCGTGAGTACCAGGAGCTCATGAACACCAAGCTGGCGCTGGACATCGAGATCGCCACCTACCACAAGCTGGTAGAAGGAGAAGAGAGCCGGTGAGGGGCAGGACGGCAAGGGAGTGGAGAGCCCGGGGAGAGGGGCAAGGCAGAACTGAATGCCAGGCCCAGACAATAGCTGCCCTTCCAGTTACACCCCAACACAGTGAGCCTACAGGACTGTGGGTTAGTCATGGCTCAGACACTGGGATTTGGGCCTAGTTCTGTTTAGCCTCAGTTTCCCCAGCTAGAAAATGGGATGATGATAAGCATAGTTCTCCATACTGGAGAAGCTGTACAAATGTGTCAAAAATAAGTGATGTGACTGGCAAGATGGCTCAGTGGGTAAAGACACTGCCCAGACTGACAACCTGAGTTCCATCCCTGGGACCCACATGGTAGAAGGAGAGAACTGACACACACAAGTTGTCCTCTGACCTTTAAATGTACATTGGCACATGTACACTCATAAATAAATGTAAAAACAATTTAAGGTAGGTATGCTATTTCAAAATGGTACTCAATCATGTTAACCATGTATACAGAGCAAAGAACAGGCCCAAGGAGTAGGGCAGGGTGCAGGCATCCTGGCCGATCCAAGGTCAAGGTTTGAGTCTCAAACACCAGGCCTCTCCCCTCCTCATACCCTAATACCAACAGGTGCCTGGGGATCTGGGTCCTCAGCTTCCCAATTCCCAGGAACTCCAGAGACAAGACTGGGTCCTAGAGGCAAGGAAAGCTGGCTAGCTAGGGTCATACAACAGGACAAGCCCAAGCTTGAGGGTAACAGTGAAAAATTGCCCTGCACTTGCCAGACTCTGGGTCCCTAATCCCATAGGGGATAAAGCCCCAGGTTCCCTCACACTTCACCCTGTTCCCCTCCCCCAGGATGGACCTGCCCTCTGCCACTGTGGTCAGTGCTGTGCAATCCCGATGCAGAACCAGTAAGTCCACAAGCCTGGAGAACCAGGGCAGGGAGGACACTGGGCATGGGGGACTATGACCCTAAAGGCATCATTTAAGTAGCTCCCAATCCTCCATCCCCTTCCCTCCTCTACCCTTTGTGTCCCCTGCAGCTGCCTCCAAGTCTTGCCTCTCCAAGACCCCTTTCCAGAAGAAGAAGAAGCACAGGGGCCCCGTGATCAAAATCACTGAAATGTCAGAGAAGTACCTCTCGCAGGAATCGGAGGCCTCGGAGTGAAGCAGCACACCCCAGAAGCCTCGGGTCACTCCCACTGGGGCCGGAAGGATGGAAGCAAAGTTCAAGAAAGTAGCTTGGAGCCTTCAGGTTGGGAGAGGAGACACTGAACTGACACTGAACTGAGATGGGTTCCAACCGATCAGTGGTGGCAGGGAGCATCGCCAGCTCCATTTTCATCAGTGTCTCAGTCGCCACTTCCAACCTCCTGGTCACAGATTTTCCTGGATGGTAAAGGGGAACTTGGGGTCAGTCTGCGTCCACCTCCTCACTCCTCTGGGGCCCCTTCTTCCCACATAGCTCTGACAAGGTGCTTGACTTTTGCCCAATGCTTGCCCTGACCTCTTGCCCCAACCTTGCCTTGCCTCTGCCTCAGAACTGAGGATGGTTCCCTCCCTCCCAACTCGGGCCATAGGCTGGGCTGAAGGGGACCCTTGTCCTTATTTCTTATCTGGGGGTTCCTGGGGGCTAGGTGCAAAGGATTCCTGGCTTTCCGGCCCTCAGCTTCCCCAGATGCCTGACAGTATTAGGGACAAGGGAAGGAAAGGGTTGGTGTTTGACACAGTAGCCTGAGTCTCAAGGTATCCCAAACACCTGCACCCGCCCTCCTCTAGGAACTCTCCCCAAGAGGTCAGTTAGAATTGGGTTCCAAAGCTACTCTGGCCATAGCTAGCACCCTGGGAGGAGAACCCAGAGATGATAGCCTGAGACCAGGCCTTCCCTTCACCTCTCTGTCATTCTGGGATGTGCCCCCAGCCCAGGACTCTGAACCTCAACTCCTCCTGCCTTTGGTGCACAGGCCTGAGAGCTCCTCACCCCACCCTGCCGCAAACCCCAGGCCCATTTCCTACTTCCCAAAGCCTCTTTTGTGACCCCACTAGGCCAAGGCTATCCCATTCCCATGTGCCTACTGTTCCTGTTTCCTCCCCACCTCTGCCCCTTCTTCCCTTTGGGCTTACTTTCCCTGCTTCTGGTGAGCCATGAAGAAGGCTCAACCTGGGAATGTCTGGAAGTTTCTGAGTCCTTGAGTTGGTCTGGGAAGCCCAAACAACACCCTTCAAAGGATTCAACCCAAGAGAGCCATTCTGTACCCAACAAGGAGATCTGGGGTTGGCCAGACAGTTCCTACTTCCTACCGTGACTCTCAACTCTGGAGCTTGCAGGGGCATAGAAGTGCCAGCCTCCTCACCCACCAGCCTCCTCCTGGCTTTCCTTTCCTCCCCTGGACCTCTGCCCAGCCCCTGCCTCACCTCCTCCTGTCTCCTATCTCTTCATCTCATTTTCCAGGACAGGATGCTCTAAGGCCCTGGCTCCCCAAGCCTGGGGGGCGGGGCTGCTGATGGGCTACCAACTCTTTTAGTGCAGAGGAACCTTCAAGTTCTCAAAGTGGGTGCTCACTGCTGCTTTGTCTCAGGCTATCAGTTTCCAAGGGAGCCCTCAGTGGGGATACACGATATAGAAAGTATATATTATTTTCTCATAACTTATGTGGCTTTTAACTTATTGCTTCCCTTCCTGTTTCTGCATGATCAGTGCCATGTACACTATCAGGAATTCAGAGAACTCATTCTAGCCATTTACCTGACTGGCTGACTCAGGCAAGGGGTGAATAAACTCTTGAGATTTGTCCATGGATAAAGCTTCCAGGCATGCTTTTTTTGTTCTCTCTCTCTCTCTCTCTCTCTCTCTCTCTCTCTCTCTCTCTCTCTCCTGTTAAAGACCACTATTGGTTCAGCACTTAAGAGCACTTGACTGGTTTTGCAGAGGACCCAGGGTTCGATTCCCTAGCCCATGTGTGTAGCCCAGGTTGGTATCAAACTCTTATAGCCAAGAATGACCTTGAACTCCTGATCCTTCTGCCTTGGCCTGTAAGAGCTGTAATTACAGGTGTGAGCCATTATACTCTAATTGTACATCTGATTTCATCTCCTCTCTCAGGTCCCATGGTCATCCCAGGCTGACCATCAGGTATTATGAACACTCCAGTTGTAGGGAAAGGGGTCTGTCCATCCAGGGACAGAGCTGTAACTTCAGACCAAAGGCTTGCATACAAATAGGATCCCTGTCCCACTGTGCCACCAGGAGACTGTCACCACGTGGATCCTTCTCCCAGTGCCTACATGTCCAGGACCATATGGACTGCCTCAGCAAGCACAAACAGGAGGATTCTCCAGCTGGTGGTAGGGTTCTTTCTCCAGTATGTCTGCTGGACCACAAGGTGGCACAGCCCAGAATACATTGAGAAATGAGCAGGCCTAATCCTGACAAGTCAAATTCCAGATCCACAAATAAGGATTGAAGACCATCTCCAAGGACCAGTAAAGATGGCTCAGTGGGTGAAGGTATTTGCACCTAACCCGATGACTTGTGTTTGATCCCCAAACTCACATGGTAGAAGGAGAGAACCAACTCCTGCAAGTTGTCCTCTGACCGCCACACACATATTGTGGCACGTGCACATGTGCGCATACACACACATTAAATAAATAAATAAATAAATAAATAAATAAATAAATAACCCAGGCCTATGCTAAGACACCTAGATTACTTTCTTCCCTTTCCCCTGCCAGGAACCCATAGTCAGATTCCCAGATAAGATAGCAACTTGTGATAACAGACCTACGCTTCACAGAGTACAGATGTGATTCCTTTGGTGGGTAAAGGAAGGGACAGGCACTAGAATACCGTAGCCCACCCACTCACTGACCCAAGAGGCCTTGGACAAACTGAACCTCAGTTTCCCTATCAGTGACAGGGAGCACATAGCTCTCCTGGGGCCGCCTTAAAGGTGTCTGGAGATCTGATGACAGTTGTGCTTGCTCTATCAAGAATGCTACTTAGCTCACTGCCACATTTGACCCTGTGACAGCTCAGCCAGTGGGAAAGGTCATCAGTGACATCACTGGTGTTGGTAGGGCAGATGTTAGGAGTTACAAATGACTACTAAACCTTGTGCTAGCTCACAATGGCACAACTTAGCCAGGCCCTGCATTCTGTCCCTCCCTCTGAGGGCCCTGACAGACAGGCTTTCCTCCCAAAACACAGGACAGATGAACAGGTAGCTAAGTACATGCCCACTCCAAAGATCCACAGCGCTGAGGTGGCACTCTTATGTGCTCCTTGTTTCCTATTTTATCTACTTCTGAGTATGAGTTTGAATTTCCAAATAGGAATATGAATTTTATACTCAAAGGTGCTGGGATATCTTTATTATCCTTTCTCCTTTCTTTGAGTTATTTTTATCATTTACCAACTTTGTGGGTTTAATTTTCAGTATAAGTTTACTTGAAGATCATCAACTTCCTGATAAGTACCATTTGGGCTACTTCCTGTGATTTTCATTTGTAACATTTTTATTATCATAGCGTTAAAGCAATTATTTGACTCATAAATTCTTTAGAAATCTATGACGCACACCTGAGTCATTCATTTTACAAGCATTTTTTGAACACGTACTCAGCCTGTGCCTGGCCCTGCTCTGGATGTGCAAAGGAGCGCACTAAACTCCCCAGCCTTGCTCTCTGTAGCCGGCACTCCTTACACCTCCCTCCACAGGACTGAAGAGCTACCTCGCACTCTTTACCTCCAGAGTTTGAACTCTAGGCTCCTTGAGGAGTTGCGTCCCACTCTATCGGCAGGACCCGCCACAGTGCCTGACTCAGAGCTGTGATGAGACTAGTCCTTGGAACCAGAGTAACTTCATCCTGCGGCAAGCCACCGTTTAGCTCATCTGTATGCCAGACTGCAGAAAAACAAACCGTCCTTCCCACGGTTGGACCCTGTTGCCAAAACCAGCAGAATCCTTGATAAGGGCAAGGATTGAGCACACATAAACACCTAACTTTCTCACAGTCTGGATTTGTCCGTGCCTTGTGCCTGTGTCTGTGTCTATGCCTTGTGTCTGAGCCTGTAGTCACCTCTACAGTTTTAACACTAGGTAATGCTCTGAAGCCAGGTTTGTATGGACTCTGCTGTAAACTTGGAGTCAAAATAGGAAATTGGTAGGCAGGGGTGGGATGGCATGGCAACCTTAGGAAAATGCTGCTGCTGTCCACAGTCATCCAGTATTCCCTAAGTAACCCCTAATAAACTCATTTTACTCATCAAAATGGACTTGTATCATTCTTTGGGCTGTTGGTGCTGTCCCAGTTTGGAGACAGATGTTCATTTGCTCTCCCTCAAAGAAGTCACACAAGAGTAGAACTTCAACAAATGTAAAATGAGTAAGAAAAGGAATGACACCCCTTCCCAGCCACTATCTCCTAGCTCCAAAGCTCCATGAAGGCAGGATGTGTCTGGCCAACTCATGAGTCTCCAGAACTAAGGGAATGCCTGACACATGGCAAAAGGTACTGTTGGTGGGAGCGGGGGGCAAGTATGCCCTCACTCGGGTGCCTCTCTGTTAGCTGGGGCCCAGAAAAGCTGAGCACTGTAACTTTAGTCACCCAGATAAGAGGAAACATTTTGGTTATGTAGAACCATGCTTTTACCTGCAGACCAGCTGCCATAGGAACAGGAAAAAATGACCAACCCCAGCAGTTAGTGAGATGGACTGAAACAAGAAAAGTAGGTAGAATTGAACAGGTTCCACAGCTGAGGCCTTGAGGTCCAACCAGAATCCCCAGGTTCACCTCGGAAGCTCAGGGTTCAGAGGCAGTGGTTTGTGCTTGGGAATCGGTGCCCTGGTAGCACTAGAGAAAGTGGACACCTGTAGGACCTCAGCCAGAGCCCAGGCAGGCCCTGTGTGCGGAGGTTTAATGGCACCACCTTCCCTCACGCCTTTCTCCTGGCGAGTTCAAACCTAAGAGAGAAATGAAGACAAGCATGGTTCTTATGTTTGGGGAGCTCTGGGCCTGATGAATGAGATCCCCACAGAAACAGAGTCAAAGACAAACCAGAGACGCCTTGGCAGACCTCCCCATCCCGCCGAGGCCTACAAAGCAGCCTGGAAGTCAGCCTTGGAAGGCTTCCTGGAAGGGGAGAGGAGGCTGAGTAGAAGGAAGGGTACTATTGATGCAAAGAAGGGAGAGGAGTGGGTTTGCTCCACCTGGAATGCCCGTCACCAGGCAGTAGCTTAAGAATGAAGAAAACTGGGGCTTGAGAGATGGCTCAGTGGTTAAGAGTACTCACTGCCCTTGCAGAGCACCTACATGGTGGCTAACAATTGTTTATAACTGTCTATAGTTCCAGGGGATCCAACACCCCCTTCTGACCTCCAAGGGCACTGCATGACACGGGTGCACTTACACGCATGCAGGCAATACAATAAAAAATAAAAATAAAGTATTTTAAAATTTATTTATTTTATGTGTATGACTGTAAGGCCTGCATATGTGTAAGTGTACCCATGTTGTGAGTGCAGTGTCCAAGGTCAGAAGAGGGCATCAGATTTCTTGGAACTAGAGTTATGGATGGTTATTAGCCACCATGTGGGTGCTGGAATTTGAACCCGGGTCTTGTGCAACAGCAGGCAGTGCTCTTAACTACTGAGCAATCTCTCCAGCCCATAAACAAAATATTTAAAGAAAAAAAAAAAAGAAAGAGCCAGGCATGGTGGCACACGCCTTTAATCCCAGCACTCAGGAGGCAGAGGCAGGAGGATCTCTGTGAGTTTGAGGCCAGCCTGGTCCACATAGTGAGTTCCAGGCCAGCTGAACACAATGTGTTGCAATATGCAGTGGTTCCCCCACCAAGATGCAGGCTAACAGCATAGGAACACCATGCCACTCAGTCCTGCAACCTAGTGTCCACTGGTTGTCCTGCATGCTGTTGGCACTTGTTAAATTCTGGAAGAATGAGCAAAGGCACAAATGGCAGCTACAGGGGAGTGCAGCTGTTGAGGGATGCAAGAGAAAGGCCATTGTAGGGTATGTTTTGACACAACCTGTGCTGCACCCTGTGATGGGCATGGTGGGGAGGAAGGAGGGGAAAGGGTAAATGGGGTCTTCGTTCTCAAGAAGATCCAGCCTGGAGCAGGATCCATGTCACAGTCCCTGTTAGGCCAAGTCCCCTCTATCATGGTTGCCCTCATGGCCAGCCTCATGGTAGGACCTCAGGCCAGTCATACTCCTAAGAGTTTGAACAACACTGGAGCTGCAGGTTGCCTCCCCAGCACAGGGGTGGGGATGCTAAAAATCCCCCTGCC